TCAGCCCTGCTCTGAGCCTGACCAGGGGCTGCACCTAGGGATTGGGCCTGCCCTCTGCCACCCGGGAGCAGGCCTAAGCCAGCAGGTCGTTATCTCCCGAGGTGTCCCAGACTGCGAGAGGGCACAGGCCGGGCTGGGGGACCCCCCTCCCCCCGCCCCCCGAGTGCACAAATTTTTGTGCACCGGGCCTCTAGTATATATATATTTATATTGATTTCAGAGAAGAAGGAAGAGAGCTAGAAACAACAATGATGAGAGAGAATCATTGATCAGCCTCCTCCTGCACACCTCCCACTGGGGATTGAGCCCACAACCTGGGCATGTGTCCTGACCGGGAATTGAACCATGACTTCCTGGTTCATAGGTCGATGCTCAACCACTGAGCCATGCCAGCTGGGCAAGATTTACTTTTGACTGAAGTAAAACAATATAATAGAAGTTGCCAAGTATTGGTAGATGGGCAACCGAGGAGCCAGGGGGAGGGTTTCAGAGGCAATGCAGACTGACCTGCATGATGAATATATTGCTTTGACAACCCTCCCAAAAATGTTCCCCATAAACCTGGCTCTAATTGGGGCAGCAGGAATCCTTTACAAATAATTTTTAAGTTTATGATCCTTGGGGTAGAAAGAAGAATCCACAGGTGACGCTGATTAAATTGATTTTACAATATATTTATCTCATTTCTCTTCTAAGCTTTTTGTCTTTTTACAGTTTTTTCTACTAACATATCTATTAAGTCATATTTTTAGAATAAGCAATACATTTGCACATCAACACGAGAAATTGCTCTGCAGAGTAGTAAGGTCTGGAAGATATATAAAGTACTTATTTTAGCGATGATACTATACTATTGCTTAAAATATTTGGCGGGCTCCTTTCATGATATTGCTTTCAGACTCCATGTCAATTCCTTTAGAAACTGCTCAGTGTGCCATAGAACTTTAACCTCTGAATATGGAGGAGTTTTCTGGACAAAATCAGAAGTTACTCAGAAAGAACAATGTAATTTGAGGTGAGTGGTCAGATTCAGTGATATTTTTGTGCAAAAAAAAAAAGCAAGTTCATAAGAAATATGCCATTTAATGGAAAATTTACATTATTGGCATACTTACTTCAGAGAACAACAGGTTAATTTCTGTTAACATTGAAGATACATGGACCTACTCCTGGGCAGCAATCCTACAGAACTGTCAGTTGTAAACACAGGGAGATATTTACAAGGAATGATGTGTACAATAATACTACAGTAACCAAAGCTACATGTATCGACATAGGTGAATCCTAAAAACATAATTTTTAACAAGAAAAAATGAAAAGTGGGATCAAAAGTCTCCAGAATTTTAAAGTCCTATCTGGAAAACCTGATTAAAAACACGGAAATATATTTGACCCAGTTTAGTTCATAAAAGGGAAAATTGCCTTCAAATCATCACCTACAGGAGTGATTTTTGTTTTGTTCAAAAGCTACAAATTAGAAAACAAATGTAAAATCTTATAAGGTAAATATGTTGACCTAGCTGACCTCCAGAACTCCTCCTGATGCATAAATATCCGAAGAACACTGAATTTGATCAATCAGAGTTGAACACCACATTGCCTAATTAGACATCCTGTTGATTAGAAGAAATGTGCTTTGTCTGATTCTTGTGGAAGTTGAAAACATCCTGGCCTAGAATGTAATTTCAAATGCTTGCGTTTAACACTTAGACTTGGAACAAAACTAAAGGAAAGCATTTGGCAATATTTATTATAATATAATTTGATATAAAAATATTTAATTTCCTCTAAATAATCAAACCTCCCAGATAAAAAATCTGAGGAGTTCCTCTAGATAATCAAACCTCCCAGATAACAAATCTGAGGAAGGCAAAAGGGAGGTTGGGGGACAAAGGTAGAGAGAAGCTATTATACACAGCATTCAAGGAGTCCAGGGCTGCACCCTAGACTCTCTTGGGTTCCATATACCTCAGGCCTTCACCCACCCCCAAGTCCTGGCAGAAATGTAAGCAGCACATGAAAGATGGTAGAGACCCAGATACATCTGACAGAAAGCTGAGGGTGGTTTTAAGGCCCAGCTAATTTTTTAAAATTGTAACTGCAGCAAAACTTTTGTTGGTATTTAGAAAAATAAAAACTTTTGTCACATTTGAAAAAAAAATTTGCGCTTGGCCAATTATAGAAGTCTATTTGGGTGAAAACATGATACTAAGATATTTCCCCTAGATAACTATTACATAGTAGAAAACACGGCAGTTACTTTTCTGTATCATCAGTATTACTTCTACTGAAGCCTCTTCTCCCACTTCTCTCTTCAAAGTGAGCAAGAAGAATGCACGCCATTTCATCTGCATGCAAATCCAGAATCAAAGCATAAGAAATCCTTTTGTTTTAAGCTTCAGAGTGATCAACTCTCTTTGGCAATTACACAGGTCACTACAATGGGAAATGCAAAAATCTAGGGGCCCACTGAAGCTTAATGACTCTCCATATTTACTCTGATTCCTTCTTAGCAGCCTACATCCCTGCCTTAATTCATGGCTAATAGAGGTCAGAGGCAGGGTTAATAGCTTGCAGCTCAAAATTCATTAAGTCATTCACTGATCATTAAAACATCCTGAAAGAGCTTCGTGTTGAAGTTTTAATAGGAGCAATATATGGAGACTTGCTATTCTCAAATACTAATAATGTTCTTTTATGACAGTAAGGATGTGTGTGCTTCTGATGGCTAACATTAATACTGATTACTAGTTCTAATCTCTTAACATGACTTCAAAAATAAATTTTTAAGAAAACTTCCAGAAAGATGAGATATCATGCATTAGAACTTTCTGGCCCAGGAGCAAGTGTCACAGTTTTGGGAATCAGTAAGTTCTCTGGGTGCTGATAGAGCCAGGTATGCCGTGGTTCTCAACCTTCTGGCCCTTTAAATACAGTTCCTCATGTTGTGACCCAACCATAAA